CAGGCCCTTCCTTGAGCTCCCACCCCTGGCAGCATCTGTCCAGTGCTCCACCGCTCTCTCTGGCCGTGGGAATCCAATCCTGAGACCCCTCCTAACTGAAGTGTAACATGGCCTAGGCCCTGCTACAGCCCCCAGTTGACCTCCTTACTGTTCTCCCCCCTGGAGGTAGGCTTGTGTTGCTGGTCTTGTTTAGTTCCTAGGTTGCGTCCGACTCTTCATGACCACATGAACTGTAGCCTGTCAGCCCCTCTGTCCCTGGGATTTCCCAGGCAAGAATACTGAAGCGGGTCACCATTTCCTTCTCCAGGGGATCGTCCCGACCCAGGGATCGAACCCACATCTCCTGCAATGGCAGGCAGCTTCTTTACCACTGAGCCACCAGAGAAGCCCAGAGGTAGGCTTACTGTGAAGTTAATGAAACTTCTGCTCAGTTCCCTAACTCGCATGGCCCCTATGAGAGCTGACAGTCTCTGGGAGTTATGAAGTGGTCCAGGAGGGAAGGGCAGCTAGGTTACACTCAGGAAACATCTTCCTTTTAAGTGTTCCTGCCAAAGTGCCCAGAGAGATGTCAGGAGAACTGACACAAGTCTCTACAGTTCCAGTAATTTATCTTGCTTTTCTTTCTCAACCTCAATTTTCACTTACATACAAATTTTGTACTCTTCTTCCTAAAAGGGACCCTTAAAATTGAATTAGCCCTGCTCTTATTTACTTTATTTGGCTGTGTTGAGTCTTAGCTGTGGTGTCCAGGCTCAGTTGCATATGAGATCTTAGTTCCCTGACCAGGGGTTGAACCCTTGTCCCTGAGTTGGAAGGTGGATTCTTAACCACTGGACCACCAGGGAAGTTCTGGATTTGCCCTGCTCTTACTCCTTACAATCCAATCTCCAAGCAGGCTAGGCCATCTCACTAAAGCAGCATGTGGTCATCACAGGCCCGCACCCTTTCTGTGGCTCCCGATGGTCTTGGGGAAATGCCAGACCCCTCCCCTGTCCTGGTGATCTGGCCCCAGCCTGCCTCCGTAACTGCATCTCCCACCACTGTGCCCTTTGCCCCCTCTGCTCCTGCCACGCTGACCCCTCCTCCATCCCGCAAGCCACTCAGAAGTCTTAAGACCTACCTGGGCTACACCACCACCCCCGTGGCCTTGAAACTCCCCCTCAACCTCCAGGACTTGGTTTCTGTGGCTCTTTCTCAGCAGGGCCTCCCTAAACCTCAGACCAGGTCATAACACTGGATCTTCCATTGATGACGACCCCACCTGCGTGAGGTAACCCTGCCTTGTCCCTAGAGGCCCCCACTTCATTCACCCACTGTTCAGGCCCAAAAGCTAGGAATTCCAGGACTCCTCGCTTCCTCTCAAGCTCACATCTAATTGACCAGAGTATCTTATCAGCTTTTCAAAACATGTTCAGAACCCAACCAGTCTGGCCACCTCCATGGCCACCACCTTGGCCCAAGCCCCAGCCTCTCACCTGGGTTATTCCAAATGTTTCAAAAGCTGGTTGACTGTTTCTATACGGTCTACTCTAAAAAGAGCATGGAGGGGAATCTTCTAAAAATTTAAGTCAGATAATGTAACCTCCGTGTGCAAACCCTCCATTGTCTGCTCATCACAGGAGAATGAAGTCCTAATGCTGGCCTTGGCCCTGAGCGATCTGGTGCCTGCCCACCTCCGTGACCTCCTTCCTGCCACTGCATCCTGTGATGATCTAGCTATGCTAAAGTTCCTGCTGTTCCTAGATTCTCCCAGCTGGGTCCCACCTCAGGGTCTTTCCCTGTGTTGTTCTCTCAGTCTGGGGTGTTCCTCCCTCAGCTTTCTTCTTCGCCAGTCCTCCTCAAAGAAGGTCTTCTCAAAGAAGCCTTCTGGGGAAGGCAGCTTCTAAAACAGCCCCTGAAGACCCCTATCCTCTGCCATGACCTCAAGTAATCCCTTCTTTTCAAGAGTGGGCTAAACGCAGCCATTTGCTTCTAACCAACAGAATACAGCAAAAACACTGGGATGTTGGTTTTAACACTGGTTTACAAAGATGGTGACTTCTGTCCTGCTCTGTCTTCTGTCTCCCTCACTTGATTGCTCTAAGGGAAGCTGGATGCCATGTTGTAGGTTGCCCTGTGGAGAGGCCCATGTGGCAGAGGGAGACTCTGGCCAACCATCAGAGAGGAACTGAGCCTCTTGGCCCGATAGCCCATGAGAAACTGAATCCTGTCAACAACCAAGTAAGTGAGCCTGGAAGTAGACGCTGCCCCAGTAGACACCACAGCCTTGGCCGACGCCTGGACTGTGGCCAGTGAGAGACTCTGAGCCAGAAGATTCAGCCAAGCTGCACCTGGATTCTCAACCCACAGAAAAAGTGAGACAGTAAGTATCTGTTGTTCTGTTTAAAATTTTTTTTTAATATTTATTTATTTGGCTGCCTCAGGTCTTAGTTGTGGCATAGGTGATCTTCTATCTTCGTTGTGGCCTGTGTGACTAGTTCCCTGACCAGGGATTGAACCCAGGCCCCTTTGCACTGGAAGCACAGTCTTAGCTACTGGACCACCAGGGAAGTTCCCTGTTTTAAATATTTTTATCTATTTATTTGGCTGCACCGGGTCTTAGTTACGGCATGCAGGGGTCTTTAGTTGTGGCATGCAAACTCTTGTTGTGGCATGTGAGATCTAGTTCCCTTACCAAGGTTTGAACCCTGGTTCCCTGCATTGGAAGCATGGAGTCTTAGCCACAGCCCATAAGAGAAGTCCCAGTGTTTGTTCTTTTAAGCTGCTAAATTTGGGGGTCATTTGTTATGAAGCTTTTGATACCAAATATATCTTCCCTAGCCCTCCATCATTCTATCCCCTTACTAGCTTTTTTTTCCTTTTTTTTTTTTTCTTGCAGCACTTTCTACTTGTGCATCTTGCTCCCGGCCCAGAGCCTTGCCCCATGCAGATGTTCAGTAATGGGGAAAGGAATGAAGGGGCAGCCAGAGGGACAATGCCATAGCTCAGAAAAGCCACAGGTTGGCAGGGGTGTTGCTTAGGAGCGAGGAGGCAGGCCTACCCCAATCCCAGGTGGTCCAGAGGCTACCTTCCCCTCTTAGCAGGAACTGGGGCTCTGCTCTCCCACCTCTTCAGGAGGATGCTGGTCAGAGCCCAGGATCTGGTATCTCGTGGTCTGGGGCCTAACAAATTTAGCTTCCTGCTCCTGTTCCAGATCATACCTTCTGGATTTCTTCTGCCCTCCGGACTTCAGGCCTATTTCTCTTTATTTGGTATGCCTCAGTAGAATGATCTGATTTTTATACCCATGTCAGACTTCTCACAAAAATAATTTAATAGATAAGAAAAGAATCCTTTTTCAGCTCACATGGCTCACTTTTTATTTGGAAAACAGTCCCTGTGCCCATAAAAAGGAAAGGGTCGCCAAGCCCAGTCTCCTCCCAGCCCTGTTCCCACCAGGTCACAGGCAGAGTGTGGGGCTGGGAGGCTGGGGAACCTTCCAGGAAAAACATCAGGCCCGAGTTGGAACCCAGTTGTCCAATCTGGGTCTGGCGAGGGGCTGGCCCTGTGCCCACCTAGACTGGCCCATTTCCTCCTAGACTAGGGCAAGTTTCCTGCCCAGAGGGAACAAGCACATTCCCAGGCAGACGGAGGCTGGGTCCTGTACTGGGGGAGGGGCATCCACAGGCACTTCCCCACCTCAGATACCGAGTCTGCAATGTGCCTCCTGGGAGCAGGATGGAGAGCAGGGGATCAGAAGTTGGGCTAGAGCTTCTGAGTTCAAGGAATGAGCTGGTCCAGCCTGGGGCCAGTCGGTTCCTCGATCTCCAGTGCACCCAGGACAGGGAGTAGAATCCTAGGCTGGACTCTGTCTGCTCCAAAGCAGTAGCCTTTGGGTGACCAAAGGCCTCATGGTGGCCTTTGCTGAGAAGTTCCATCAGAACCTGGAATCCTCCAAGAACCTTCTCCAGGTCCCGCCTCCTCCCAGGTGCTTCCCCTGCCTCTCCCAGACAACCGGAACCTCACAACCTGTTTGGGAGTCCCTTGGCTGGGAGTCTCCTTTGCCCTGTGAGGTCTCTCCTGGCAAAGGACCCCTGAGTTGGGGCCCTCAATCCCTATGGATGCAAACTGCCCTGTGGGCTGGGTACCTGGACCAGGAGATCATAGGTATGGTACAGCCTCAGGTTAACTTGGACAAAAAGTGGTGGGAGCCACATTCCAGAATTTACCAGGAATGGACCTGCCATATTTACTATGCCCAACTCTGTTAACTTCCCTGGCCCCAATTCTTCTACAAGAAGTGAGGAGCAGGGAGCATGCATGGCACTTAAACTCTGGATGTCAGGCTACCCGAATTCAAATCCTGGCTTTGCCACTAACTAGCTGTGTTCCCTTGAGTAATTTCCTTAACCTCTCTGAGCCTTGGTTTCTGAATCTATAAAAAGCAGTAACAGTACCTGCCTCTTGGGGCTGACGTTAAAATGAAATGAGATAATAAAGATGCTTAGCACAGTGCCCAACAGATGATAGTTGTTCTTCTGCTAGGTTCAGAGAGGGGCAGTGGCCTACTGAAGGCCACACAACAGGTAAACAGAGTTGTTGGTGCCTAACTTTTCTTCCACATACTCTTTGGCCTTCATGAGCTGGGCCCTGAGGGGGATACAAGGCTGAAAACAGCTGAGATAGGAAGGATCCCCATGTAAGGGTCAGAGGTGGGGGACCCAAGGGCATCAACAGAGGCCCAAGCATCATACCCCCTCCCAGGTTTCTCAACCTGGGATGGGACATGCCCAACCAGGATGTCTTGGGCATCCTCCACCCAAGACAGGCAGGGGGTCCTAGACCATCTGCCCATCCATGCCACTGCATCCCTGTCACCTCTTCAGCCACCTCCACATCAAATTCCTGAATCCCAGGGAGCCAGCTAGGCACACATCCCAGGAGCCTGCCCCAGTCAGAAGAGCTCTGTAGCCTTGAACAAGCCTCTTCACCTCTCAGCATGTTCATGATTCTAAGAAAAATCTGAGAAAGTCACCTTTATTGTTTGTGGAAAGGGCAGGGAGTGGGAAAAGGGGGAAGCCATCATGGGGATACAAGTCCCCTCAATGCCCCTGGGAAGGCAGGTCTAGGGGGCCTGTATCTGTTCCCCCACCCTGAGGAAAAGAAAAAGGTTAACCCAGTGGCCTCCAGGTACTCCCACCCTCTCAGGGACCCAGTCCCAAATCCTCCCCTCCCCTCCCACAGATCCCCAGTGCTCCAGGTGGGGGGCAGCCTTGCCATTCTGCCTCCAGGCAGTATTCTGGGGTCAAGGCCTCCTGGTGAACCTGAGTGGACCTGAGAGACTCCAAGTCCTTGCCGAGATCAGTCAGGAGGTGGCTTTCTCCTCTGAGGGCTGGGGCTGGCTTGGAGCTGACACCAAAGGCCTCTGGGGTGGAAAATCCTGAGGGGAGACAGGGAGGAAAGGATGGAGGTGCCACTCAATCCCCCCATCCCGTGGGGGCACTCAGGCTTCCAATTTCCCAGGATGTTCCTCTCATTTGGAGCTCTGGGGCACAGAATGGGATGGGCTATGGATGGGGTGGGGGTGCCCCTCAATTGCCCCATTCCTAGTGACCTGGGCTACTGAGGGGTCACCTGACTTGGTAAGGTTCCCGGGACTGTCTGGAGCAGGGCTTCAGTGTCTGGGGGACCTTCAGGGTGGGGGTGCCCACCTGTATCTGGCAAAGATCAAGCAGGGTACGGATGCCCACGAGGCACCAGAGCTCGCCCAGCAGGGAGACGAGGATGCCCAGGAGGTCCAGCCAGCGGCCCACGGTCAGCAGCAGCACGAAGAGACCGCACATGCGCACCAGCACGGTCTGGACGTGGCTCTTCAGGCCGAGGCGCTGCCGCTGCTCCTCTACAAACACAGGGTCCCCGTCACTGGCCGCCTGCCTGATCCCCGTGGCCCCACCCTGAGGTCCAGCTGAGATGGGGCCTGGACCTCCCAGCTCCCCCACCGCTTTCCTCAGTGCGAGCCTTTCCCTCCCCAGGCAGCCCCCTTCCCTTCCTCTCCGCCCCATCTCCGCTCTGCAACTACAGGGCACCAGGCATTTCTTCCTCCCGGGCCTCACTGCTCACCCAGGGTCTCGCCCTGGAGTCGTCTTGACTCCTCTCTTTCCTGCATTCCCACGTCCGATCCATCAGTGAGCCCTGCAGTCTCTTTCTGCTTTCATCTCTCAAATCAGCTTTCTCACTGGGCCCCCAGCTTCTAGTCTGGACCCCACAACCCAGTGTGTACTCAGCAGCTAGTAGCCTTCTAAACACACTAACAAGATGGAATCATTCCTCTGCTTATAATCCTCCGAGGACGTCCCCTTGCACCTGGAATAAACTCCAGACTCCTTACCCTTACAAGGAGGTCCTGCCCCATCTGACCGGAGTCCATTCTCAACCTCATCTCAGGCTCGCTACCTCCAGCCATCCCAGTTTTCTGTGGTCCATCAAGTGTGCTAGGCTCATTCCCACATCAGGGCCTCTGCATCTCTGCCATGTTTGCCTCACTGCCCTTCCTTGTCCTGTCTCTTCGGCCCCATCCCTACCCTGCAGCCAGGTGGCTCCTCCTCAGGCCCGGATCTGAACAGCTCACTCGCCCCTGCTTAAAACCCTGCAACGGCTTCTGAACAGACTGCCTCACCTGGCTGATGACAGCCCTCCCTGTGAACCCTGCCAGCCTTGTCCCCTCCCTGGTGACAACAACATACCAACTGCTTTCAGGCCTTGAATCACCTCTGGGCTTTGGTGTACATGGTTCCCTCTGTCATGATCTCCTTTCCCTGCTCATCTCTCCCAGGGGCTCCTGCTTATCCTTTGAGGCCCAATTCGAGAACTGTCTCACTGGGCTCCCCCTGCACCCTGTACCCTTCTGTCCACTGCATGGCTGTTGCTACCAGACTGAGTGCTCTGGGATGGCAGGGGCTGGATCTGAGTGTCGTCGTCCTCCCCAGGGCCTAGCATTGCACTGGGCCCGGTCAGACAGTGGGGTGTGAGTGTCAGTGAATCAGCTGCCGCCCGTGGCGCTTACCCTGCATGTGGATGACCAGCAGGGTGTAGCAGATGGTGAGAGGCGTCCAGAAGCGCACGGCCTCCGAGGTGGTCAGGAAGTCTCGGTTGATGAGGGCCACGGCGGCCAGGTTGCCCACTATAAAGGTCACGGCCAGGGTGCGGCCCAGCAGCCGGGGGAGGTGGTGTGCGCCTGCCAGCAGGCCCAGGCAGACCCCACAGGTGCGCTGGCTGCGGTGCAGCTCGTAGAGCCGGCAGACGTGGTGGCGGAGGCGCCGGGCGCCAGTGCTAAGCAGCGCTGCCAGCCCCAGGGCCAGCATCAGGTTCAGTGTGCAGTGCGGGGCGCCCTCCTGCAGGAAGCTCAGGCCGCAGGTCAGCCCGCAGCCCAGCGAGTACTGGCACAGTAGGTACAGCTGCAGCTTCTGGGTGCCCTGGGAGCCCTGGATGGGGGAGGGGGCACAATGATGGGGGCTTAGGCCGCTCGTCACCCTGGGGGCACCAAGAGGGTGTCACGGTACAGATACTCCATTCTGTAGGAGGCTGGAGCCTGAAGGAACCTCAGGGATTGTTCCCAAAGAGGAGATATTGCCTTCAGGTCAAGCCTACTGGGATTGTCTCTTTTGTCTTTTTAAATTTATTTTTTGGCCAGGTCATGCAGGCATGTGTGATTTTTAGTTCCCTGACCAAGGATCAAACTCACCACACCCCCTGCATAGGAAACGCAGTCTTAGCCACTGGACCGCCAGGGAAGTTTCATTACTGTATCATTTCTTTCAGCTTAATTTCAGTCATGGTTATTACCTGGGACTGGTCTGCTGGCTGAAGAGTGGCGGCTCAGAGCCTTGAAGAACTGGGTTCAAAGCCTGACTCTACTTCTTGCTGGTGGTTGACCATGGATAAGCCACTCTGCCTCTCTGAGCCTTAGTTTCCCACTTGTGAAACTGGGATCCCAGTAAACTTTTACCTGCTGTGATTACAAGGATGAGATGATGTGCCCAAAGCATCTAGCACGGTGCCTGGCTGGTGGGAAGCTCCAGACAGCCCCGAGCTGCTGTGTTATCTTCTTGGCCTGGGGCTGTGTCCACTCTGAGTGGAGACTGGGCTTTGGCAACCACAGTTTTTCCCATTTTTTTTTATTCCGGGGTGAAAACTAGGGCCCAGGGCCAGGCCATCCTCACCCACCACCTCCCTGTGGTCTCACCTTGTCCAGGGAAAGCAGCATGGAGACAGCCCGGAGGGAGAACTCGAGCACTACGAGGGCAGCCACCCGGACCCCCACAACGGTCAGAATCAGGGCCAGCCCTGCGAGGTGCACGGCCTCCAGTGACGCCCACCGGGCCTGCAGCCTCTGCTTCTCAAGACGAAGCTCCGGGTGGCTGTGGAGACAGACAGGGGCGCGGGCAGAGGAGACAGACAGAGGGTGCCGAACCACCAGCCTGGTCCCTGGAGGGGGTCCCGGGGCTCCCAGCCGCTCCCCGGGGTGAGGGAGGGGTGGTCTCTTCCTCCCGGCCCCCCTCTCAGAGGCCTCTTCTCAGTGCGGGTTTCAGGGCGCAGGGAGTAGGCCGGGGAGGTGGGCACTCACTTGGCACAGCCCACGAAGAAATAGACCTTCAGGAGGTTGTTCAGGATGGAGACTGCGCAGGCCCCGACGAGGCCTGGCGGGGGCAGTAGGGAGGGCGGGCGGCGTGATGGGGTTAGAGGAGCCGGCAGGCAAGGCGGCGGGATACTCCACGTGGGTGGGCTCGCCGGCACTGAGCAGGTGTCCGGCAGGGGGCGGGGTTGAGGGGCAAGGGGGAGGCGCTCACCTTGCAGGAGGGCCTCGAGGAGGCCGGAGCCCCAGTCGAGGGAGGGGAGGCTGGGGAGCCAGGAGGTGGGGGACAGTAGGGAGAACATGGCCGCGGGGATCCAGCCCAGCCTCCGGCCAGGTCTGCTCCGGAGAGACCGCAACGTCACAGCCACCGGGCAAAGGTGGAGGCGAGGGGAGGAGCTGGGAGGGGTCAAAAGCCCAGGGGAGGGGAAGGGATGAGAGCCAGGGCTTTAAACTTTCCGGGTTCTGAGTTAAGACCGCTGCCCAGGCGCTTGCCATGTGGGCAGCATGGGGTGGAGGGCATCTCTGGGTGGGCTGGTCTCAGTCCTGCTCGAGTCTGGCGCCCACTTTTCTCACCCTCCTCTGGGCCTTGCCCCACAGCGCCTTCCTGAAGCCCCAGGCCTCATCTGTCCTTCCTCAGCCTCCGTTATGTGTTCTCCCTCTCGGCCTGAAGTGTGGGGTTCCCCCCTCGGCCCAAGGTCTGGAAGGGGGCTTCCACCCCCCCACAGCCTGAGGCTTCGCTTTCTCAGCTCGAGGCCTGGAAGGGGTCTCTCCTCCCACTGCCGGGGGTGGAAGGGCTGGGGGCGTTGGGGGTGGGGGTAGGCTGGGGCAGGGGCAGGATCCAGCTCCAGGCCCTCGCCCACTGCACCGCAGGGCCGCCCGCCCTGACGATTCTCCTCGCGCCCACTAGGCGGCAGGCCTCGCTTGGCCTGAGGGGAGGGGCTGCCCCAGTTCTTTTGGGTCCTCCTTTCCCAGACAGAAGAGCCAGCCACGGGTTGGGTTCGGGAGTCCAGAGACTGAGACTGCCAGCAGTGCAAAGTCATTGACGTAGATAAAATAGAAAACTTTATTGGTTTGGAGTGTGCAGTAGGTATGTGCCTGGAGAGCAGCTCTTTGCAGCCATTGGGTGTGGCCGGGAAGGCAGTTCAGGCCACTTGACCTCAGCCAGTCCTGCCACTTCAGGCACTTAGCTCCTACTTCTGTAGCACAGAGGTCAGTGCCTTAGGGACACGCCCACGGGGGGAGTGTGGCCGCAGCTTGGACAAAGGACAGGGTCTGGGATGAGGATACTCAGCTTCACTACCTTGGGGAATTCGCCTCCTTTCCTGGGACCTCAGTCTGCTCATCTGAATAATGGGCACGTCAAGAGCTACCTTTCAGAATTGTCATGAGAATCTGTGCAAACGCCCACAGTGCTGGGCGTCCAGGAGACCCTCAGTAAAAGCCCTTAGTTTTGAGGGGGTGTGTTGTGTCCCCTCCCACACCCCAGATTCATATAGGGAAGTTCTAACCTCAGAAGGTGACGGTATTTGGAGATGGGGTCTTTAAGAAAGTAATTAAGTTAACATGAGGTCATTAGTGTGAGGCCTAATCCAATACAAGTGGTATTCCCGCTCCAGTATTCTTGCCTGGAGAATCCCATGGACGGAGGAGCCTGGTGGGCTAGGGTCCACAGGGTCGCAAAGAGTTGGATACAACTGAGCGACTTTACTTTCACTTTAGTAGGGGATTAGGACCCAGACACAAAGAGGGAAGACCTTACTTATGGGGACCTTGGGAGAAGACAGGTGTCTACATGCCAAGAAGGGAGGCCTCAGAGGAAACCAACCCTGCCGACTCCTGGACATGTAGCTTCCAGAACTGTGAGAAAAGAACATTCTGTGGTTTAAGCGGCCTAGTCTGAGGAACCCTGTGATGGTGGCCTTGGCAGACTAGCACAGACAATGACCCCATGGCCTCACGGTGCTCCTCAGGGCCTCCCCATGTGTGCAGTGATCCCTTAGGGCACTCCGGCCCCCATGGTCCTGGCTCTCACCAAGGGCACAGGTCAGGGGTGGGCAGAGGTGAGTTCCAGTTCCAGCTCTGACCCTTCAAAGCTACGTGGCTTTGGTCAGAGCACTTCACCTTTCTGAGCCTCCACTTCCTGATCAGTGACAGAATTTTACTACCTCCTACTGTGTAAGCAAGTTGATATTGTATGTGACCCAGCTCACAGCACTGTTCACATCTTGGAGTGGTTATTGTGATGGGTAAGTCTCTGGGATAAGGTAACCTGGGACAGAGAAGGATGAACACTCTCTGGAGAACGGAGTGGGTGGTGATTCCAGCTGGCCCTAGGTGGGCCCAGGGGCTGGGCTGACCACAGCTGTCTGACCACACTCTCCCCGGACCTGGGGCAGGGCCTGGGCCTGGGCTGGCTCTGGAACAGCCATTCCCAGCTGCAGCGGGCCATCGCGTCCTGCCAAGTGGCCGGCCGTGTCGGAGTGAAGGACACCGCCTAGCTGCCCTGGTGCTGGCCCCGCCAGGCCCATTTCCGGAGTTCATCCCAGAAGAGCATGCTTAGGATGGTGTGGGGGCCCAGGCGCAGGTAGACGGGGCCCAGACCCTTGTAGAGCGCCAGGGGGCCCTCCTGCCGCCAGATCTTCACCAGGCAGTCGGCGAGGCCGCCATACAGCTTGCCCTGGGGACAGACACAGGGTGGACATCACTGCAGGCATTGTGGGGCCCTGGCTGGCACAATGGCGTGTGTCTGTGTGAGGCCTTTGTGGTACATCAGAAAAGGCACTGCCCCCAAGCTCAGCGAATCACATGAGGGTGTCCCTTTGGGCTGTGAAAGTTCAGAAGGAGCCGCTTCCTCCAGGCAGCCCCCGCCCCAGGACAGGCGCTCTGCGTGGCTAGTGGCATGCAGGTGGACTTCATCCCTAATGCAGCTTGTGGAGGGCACCTTTGTGTTGGGCACATTCTGTACCGGTGTATATGATGACTCGTGTGTGTCAGTGAGGCTGTGGGGTCAGGCCTGGATTCCAGTTCAGGTTCCTCCACTTAGCAGCTGTGTGACCTCGGGCCAGTCACTTGATCTCTCTGAGCCCCAGTCTCATCAGGAAAATGAAGGTGGTTGTGAGGAGAGAATTAAAATGCGGACGTGAAAAAGCTGAGTACATGCTTGGGACATGGGTGTTCAGCAAACAAGCCGAATTAATGTGTGTGCGTGTAGGTCACGTCTGTGTGTCCCTGGCCCTGGGTGTGTGTGTGGGTGTGTGTGTTGGGGGGGGCTCGCCAGCACCCACCCTCCCCCATTCTGTCCTCTGCTTACCCTGCCTGCTCCGTCCACTGGCTGATTATACAGCCGCGTGCTGACCACATCAAAGGGGGTCATGACAGCGACCACAGCTATGCTGCTGATCATGCCCCCGGCCAGGGCCACCAGCCAGCTGTCCTCCGGGAGCCACTGTGGGAACATACAGGTTGCTGACCCCCGTAGCTGCCTTCCACCCACCCACGTGGTGTCACCCCACCCTCTCAGCACCTGGGGGCTGGAAGACCTGGGGAATGTGGAGCAGAGGAGGCTCCTCCCGCCACTCCCCTCCCCACCCCATCCCCCCTGAGCTTCAGGGTTCACTGCCGGCTCCCCAGTCTTGCTGGACCCCAAAGCCAGGGTCATGGCCTGAGGGCAGAGCTGGGGCACTCAGCTTTATTAAGGTGCCCCGTCTGTCACCATGCCCTCGGCTTCCCTGGGTAGGGCCCAGGTGGAGACGTGCGGTATGATGCAGACCTGGACAGACAGGAAGAAAGAAGGCAGGAGGCCCTCCTACTCCTGTGTGTGGAGGCGGGCAGAGGTGCCCCCAGATCCTCACCTGTCGCTCCTGCACCCAGGCCTTGGCAGAGGCAAAGGTGGCCAGCTGAGCGGCCGAGCCGACCATGACCCGGGGCACGGCACCCCCCACGCCCCGCCACAGCCCTGCCAGGCCCTGCTGCCGCCAGATGGTCTCCAAGGCACCCAGGAGGCTCTGTGGGGAGAGGGCATGGGGTCACTGGGCAGCCCCTGCCTGTCCAGGAGCCCGTCCAGCCCACCCAGCCCACCCAGCCCACCCAGCTCGGGAAGCTCTGAGGAGAGGCGGTCCCTACCTGGTGATGGTGTTGGTGCCCCACGGCCATCGCGGCCACTGTCTGGGCCTGCAGCTGCGTTTTGACCTGTGAGGGCAGAGGTGCCACAGGGCCTGGGGGTGGAAACTTGGGAGAGCCTGGAGGAGCTGTGTGTGTTGAGGGCACGCCTTGCTGGGCCCTGATACCCAGACCTCCCTGAGCCCGCACCTGCCGCTTCCCGATGTGTGGAATAGGGTTGAGGGTGAGGCTCTGCAGTCAGCCTGCATCTGCATCAGGGTGTGACCTGGGACAAGCTACTTCACCTTCTCGCGACCTTTCTGCTCAGCCTTAGAAAGCTGTTTTGAGAACCAAGAGCAATGACACATCCAGGCTCAGACAGGGGGCCCTCACTAGAGGGAGGCTTATTCTTACTTGCACAGGAAGATAAAGGACCTCCTGCCACCCTCCACCCCATACCCTGGCTCAGGACTGGTGGGGTGGGGCCCTCAGGGGAGTGAGGATCAGGGCCAAGCCCTGGTGCCCTGGACCAAGGGGCAGATTCCAGGCAGCCTGGGTGGGGATGTTCTGGGGAGCTGCCCCACCCAGCCTGCCCCACCCTACCTGCTCCTTAGAGGCCAGCCCAGGAGGCTGCCGCCCCCATGGAGCTGGGTCACAGGGTAGGGGGCGGATGGAGACAAGGCACTCACCAGGTAAGCAGGGCTCCCCACAAAGGCTCCCAACGCCCCTGCCACAGCGCCTGCGACCACGGTGCCTCCTGGCTGCTGGCTGAGGCCGGCCTGGCACGCCAGGCTGTAGCAGTAGAAGCGGACGCCGTTCATGAGGCCCTGGTAGAGGAGGCCGGCAGCCAGCCCCTTCTGCAGCCCGCACAGCCCATCTGCACGGACCACCGCGACGACGGAGGCCACAAAGCCCCGGTAGAGCCGAGGGTAGGTGCCCCGTGCCTGCAGCTCCCCCTGAAGCTGCAGCCGTGTCTTCACTACCTCCAGGGGGTTGGTGAAGACACAGGCCAGGCAACAGGCTGAAGCACCCAGCACCAGGTCCACAGCTGGGGGCACTGTCTCCATGGCCTCAGGGCCAGGGGCCAGCGGGGGTGGGCACGGGCCCTGGAGTGGCAGTGCTTAGGCTGTTTTCACCCCCGCAAGGCCACAGGGCTGGGGATCGAGGGAGCCTGGGGCCATGTCTTGGAGGGCAGAGGTCTGGGTCAGAGAGGCCGCAGGCTGCCAGGCAGCTCCTGGTCTATCTCGGGAGTCCAC